AAGGAAACTACAGCCCAGAAGAGCAGACAAAACAGTAGTGAAAAAGCACTGTGACATCCCCTGGAGAGCTGGTTTTGGAAGGAATCATTTTCATGGAGGACAGTAGGTGTTTTCTGCCCTTGCGGACAGATCATCGCCATGGGTGTGACCTCCTGTTCACCCCACCAAGTATTTCCTTAAACTGGGGTTTGTGGTAGGAACTGCTGGTGGCTAGCTGAATATGATTAGGTGCTCATTAGCTGTCTCATGGGATTTCTGCCCTCGCCCCCCCTCCCCCCGCCCCAGCAGTGAGGATATTGTTTCCTTTTGTCTAAGAGTGTCCTACTAGTGCAGGTTTTTTTTTTAAGGAAGCAAATGCTGTGTTATGTAAGAACAACATCTGTAGAAAGTGAAGCCTGGGGCTTCTGAGCTTGCTAATTAACTTACCTCTTCAATGTATAAGGCGATAAAAGGTAACATCTTGGAGTCAGTGATTTAAGAAAAACCAAAACCAGACTTAATTAGGTAGAACTGTGGCTTCTGTTAAAATATATCTGCTATGGAGAGAGAAACCATAAAGGAACATCAGTGTCTGAACTGTACTGAGGTTTTTCTTGACGTGGTTGCATTGAAAGCAAAGCACTGCCTTGAAAGATTTGACAGGTCGCATCTGTGTGCCTTATTTTAGGGGTTTTCTGATGTCCCTCAAGCAGAGGGTCCCTAGAAGGCAGCATGCTATGTATGCAGCAAGGGCGTGGTAATACAAATTGAAATAGCAAGTACACTGTATCTTACCATACCTGCTCCCTGAGGCTGAGTATTATGTAATGTTTTGCTACAGATTTTATTTGAAGCTGTTTGTCATAATAAATATGATGAAAGGTCCTGTTTTGTGTTTGAGCTGTTGAGATATAACCTCTTTGTACTGGGGTGAAGTACAAAAAGATGCCTCGCCACAAAGCATGGGGCCAAGAAAGTACAGTAATCGCTCCTGGCTGGCCTGCTGCTGCTTTGCTTATACTGAAATATAAATTTATTTTGTTATATAAGGAGGTGTGTGAGGGTGGTGGAAAGGGGGAAGAAGCTGGAATCCATAATGGTTAAAAAGATGTTCTTGGCTCTGGAACTGACTTTATTTGGGTATTCTAAAACTGTTTGCATAGATACCATGACCACAGCTGTTTTCATGAAATCAACATACCTGAATTATTCTTCTGTAATACTATATGCTTGGAAACTTTTATTTAAAACGTGACCAAGCCCCAGGAGCAGTTTACTACTTCCAGAGAGCATAGTTGTGCCCTGTTGGGCAGAAGACAGTCAGTTCTTCACTGGGAACCAGCAGGTAAGAAACACTTCTGTTTCCGTGTTCTTATGTCTTAATGCAGTTACTCTAGTTTCTGGGCATCCCATGGTACTCAGCCTTGGTTGCTCTGTAAAACACCCGACTTACTTTGTGACTAAACCTTAGGAGCAATTGTATAGCATGCTGGTTTCTGCCTAGGGACACTCAGCAGTGGAACCGTTCTTATGAGGATGCATGACTCTCTGCCATCCCACTGGGCTGGCAGGCTTCTCTCCGTGTGAGTACTTCACACGGTGTACCTGGGTCCTTTGCGCTGCTTAGCTGTGGTGCAAGCCAGGCTGCAAGGAGGAGAGCAGCAGGGAGAAAAGAGCTCACAGCAAGCAGGGACAGAGTGTGCAACCTTCCTTCTGTCAGTCTCTCCTGCAAGCTCACAATTCACAAAAGAAAATGAGGAAAAATGGCAGTATACTAACTTCCTTCTGGATGTGCAGGTCAGAGGAGTTGTGTAACTGGATTAAGGAATCAGCCAGTACTTCATTTCAAAGCAAAACAAAACAAAACTCCTTTGCTTAGACAAGGCACGCCATCACAGAAACCAAATTTAAGCAGTGACTGACTTCTTGGCTCTTGTGCCACAAGTTCATATTCCATGCGCATTCCTCAGCAGGTGAGTAGGAGACCTACATCTTTTATCATAAGATAGCCTTTGCATTATTTTTCCATCCAGCATAGTTCCATAGGTGAATATGAGGGTAGATTTTGAGTAGATATAAGGAAGAAATTCTTCACTGCAAGGGTGATGAGGCACTGGAACAGGTTGCTCAGAAAAGTTGTGGATGCCCCATCCCTGGAAGTGTTCAAGGCCAGGTTGGATGAGGCTTTGAGCAACCTGGTCTAGTGGAAAGTGTCCCTGCCCATGGCAGGGGGATTGGAACTAGATGATCTTTAAGGTCCCTTCCACCCCTAACCATTCTATGATCTTAGCTGGAGCAAAACAACATGAGGCATGTTTTCTTGTGTAGAAAATACCATTTATTGTGGATATGAAAATAGCAATCTTGATTAAGAGCAGAGATGCAACAGTAGGTGGTACAATACAATTTGTTTGATCATCTACTGCTCAGCAGTAACTTAGAGGAAGTTGGTTTTGCCTGTTGTAGATTAACAAATCAGATATCTGCTGGGTTTTTATTTCTTCCCTCCAAACAAACCAATTCCGTACATTAACAGGTACCATAAAATGTTATATTTGCAAAATAAAACGTTCATATAAATAGGCTTTTTAGTATCAATTGAAGGTTGTATTAAAAAAAAAGTTACATTAATCCAATAACAATAAAAATAAAACTTAGCTTTGATAGCATATAAAAACACTTCAAAACAAGCATATATAAATAACTTAATTTGTAAACATAGAAAAAAATCTTATGTATATATAAAAATAAACATCTGATGCACTGTACAATAAGACATTATCCTTCATAGGCACTGGCATCATTGATCAACAGGAGTCCCCCTAGATGTTTTTCCTACAAAAACTGCTTTATCACTAGTGCCATGTCCAAAATAAAAGGGAACAAAAAAGCAAAGCACTGAGCAAATCTTTCATGGATTCTATGACGACCTCCCCTACCTCCTCTGGAAATCTGTGGAAGCAGCACTGGGGACAGAGCCAATACACCATGCTGCTGTTTCTGCTTGTTTTTTATCCTAGGGCTTTTACGTACTGCCTTGTTCGCTCTTCCTTTCTTGGTTTCCACCAAAAGGGGGGGACACTATGACAGGTTGCAAATCTAGAAATCTGCCTGTTTGCTCAGTTGCAGAAAACTTTGTGATGGGTTTGCGCCTTTTCCCTCCAGGGGCTATGGAAGATGCATGACACTTGAAGTGACCCATGCCATGACTCAGTTTGGCAGGCTTTTAAGAAAAGGCTGAGCCTCACCAAAAGAGACCAGTAATATATTGATGTTAAAGTTGTATCCATGACCATCTAAAGACAAACTAAATTTGTAAGTAAGTGAAAGGTTTTTATTATCCTGCCTGGTATAGTTTAGGTGGGGGAAAAAGCCTTGGGCTGGTGTGTCTCAAAACTGCTATTTTCTTAAATATCAATTTAAAATAGCTATTGTCTTTTCTTTTAAAACTTAATATATTCATAACAGGACGTAACACGGAAGCTGAGAGCCAAAATTACACCTGTGCAAAGATATAGTAAAAGTAGATCCTGGCTCTTGAACTCAAAGGTGGGAAGTGCAGCTAACTCCACTGTATGCTGGGAAAAATGCATCTTTTACTGAAAGTAACTGTGTTAAAGAAGCAGACGCTGGCTCTGGTATGGTGGGTGCTTGAATATGTATCTCACGTGATAAATTTAAAGTGCAACAGCTTCTTGAACAATGTGGGCCTTTTCAATCTAAAAAAAGCATATCATAGCAGCTTTTATTGCTTAGATAAGATTATCTAAAGTGATTCTTCACTGTTGTGCTGAAGAACTAAATGAAGTTATTCAGATCTTTGAGTTAGTTGTGGTTTTGTTTAAGTTTAGGAATGTGTGACCAAACTAGCGAGTGTGTTGGACAAACGCGTAAAGCCTGACAGCAGGATTGTTGGCCTAAGTTCAACAGAAATGCCATGAGGTAATTGAATGGGAAGAGTCTGTAGTCACTGCAGTGAGACAGCTGGTCACGTTATGAGCAAAGTGCAGTAAGACTATGACCAGGCTAGATTTTCAACTCTTAATGCATTTGGGTAAAAGTGTAGAAGGGCTGATGGAAAAAGCCATTGTGGAAAAAGGCTGGAGCTACTCTTTTTGCAGGATTTGCATTCTAGACACAAGCTGATTACTCAGTACTACTCCCTATTAATGACAAAGTGTCACTGTTTACGACTGTCAGTTTGGTTTCTTTATTTCAAAGCACCTAATTCTGCAGTGCAGTAAAACTGTGTCCTGAGGTGTGGTGGTTTCCACTGATGCTGCATAGTGTAGTGGCAATCTGAAATACCTTATACTGGCTGCAAGCAGTCAGCCAGTTACATGAGAAAAAAAATCTGTCCAGGGTGTAGGATGACTAGTCGATATCGTGCTGTTTCAGCTTCCCTTCTCAAGGGGAAGTATAGCCAGCTAGCTAAGTTAAATGATTTATCTACACTGTTAGGAATTCTGCATTTGATACTTATCTCAATGTTCGAAAGTGGCTTTGCAGCTCTACTCAAGAGCTTGTAAAAGGTCTCGAGCCATACGAGTGCTGTTTCCAGTCTGTAGTGTATTTCATTGCTGCCGTTGCCTTTTTCTCACTGCTGCCTAAACTTTTCTTAAAGAAAGAAGGTTGATCTTTGAAGCTCCTTGGAAACAGAAATTAAATTACACACTTTTGCATGTAAGATGCTGGCTATTGTAAAGCAAAGTCTCTTCCTCTGCTTTTTATAGAGACAGCACACCTTCCTGCTGTTCCATGGAGGTTTTCCACAGCTGTTTCCAGGAGGACAGATTCCCCATTAAACTTGCTGGGTTTCTTCTAAGCAGCGTGGGCCAAAATAAATGATCCTTTTATCTTTTAACTATACTTTTGTATAGTCCAACGTTAGCAGTTAGGCTCCTCAAGTGAGGCTCGACTGTGACTGTCTTATGAGCCAGCGTTTTACATTACCCTTACAGATGCTTGTGTCTCTTCGTGAGCTTTCAGCTGCTGTTACGTGTCCCGTTCTGCGCCAAACACTAACTAGCAAGAAAGTGTGCCAGTCGAGCAATCACCAGGGGCTGTCGCTTAGCGATGGAACTCAGGAGCCTTGCAGGGATAGCTGGGGCACCAAGATCCACCTGCAGGAATTAGAAGAAAGGCTGCATGTTGAGGTTTGTACCTGGTTTTGAGCAAAACACTTCTCTGGCCTGGAATAGCTCTGTTGTTGCAAATACATGTTAAGCACAAAAGTAGTTTACAGCCAAATGCTATCGTTACTGTGTGGTTTGTATCTTTTTTCCTTCCCAATATTCCATAGACTTTCAAAGCTTTGCTATTTGAGGTTACTTTCAGCAGATATGACCCACACTGCTTTTGAGTTTGAGTTTAGATTAAATGTTGCTAGTTTGAGACAGATGCAGTGTTACTGAAAATCCGTATGTATACACTAAAGTGCAATATAAAATGCATATAAAATTTTTAAATGCATAAACATTACACGTACACATTGTAAAATGCATATACTAATTACTATAGTGTAAAGATAGTATTTTTTAAATTGTATCTTTAAAACATATTTTACATAGATAAGTTTAAAGGACTAATGCCATTTAGCTCTCAGATGAGCACTTTAAAATAAGTTATACACATTCTGGTATTCTCTTCTGGACATTTTTAAGTACTTAATACCACTGTCTCAAACAGAGCCTGCTTTTCAGATGAGTCTGTAATAAATGGATGACAGGATTTTCTTATTCTTAACTGGAACCCTAGTCTTGACTTCTCTGTTGTATCTATTAAGTGTGAAGAATTAATGACTTCAGTTAGAAAAAGTTAACAACAGGTATTTCCATGCATTTTGAAAACGACATAACCCGAGGTGAACTTCCACAGCAAGATGAAAATGCAAACAAGACTCTCCATACTGGCTCACCAGTTGAGAATACAACATATACTAAAATTGCTAATAAACATTTAAAAAAGAGTCTTGGTATCCAAGGGAGCAGCTTTGGATGCTGTAAAAACTTGGGATCGTGTGCCTAAGCACAACCCTAATAAGATTCTCTCTGCATTACTGTACATCATGCTAGATAACAGTGTGAAGTGGAGGTGGCTTTTATGATCACTTCATAAACTTCATGGAGTATAGCATAACGATTATATTTTTTGTTACTTACCAGTTTTCTTAAGCAGTCTGGTACGTAATGGCTTTTGGCATTCACAGCTGGGCAGGCAAAAAAATCTTACCTGTGCCATGTAAATAACTCTGGTGATATCTCTTCCATTCACTACATCAGGTTCCAGTATCCAAGCACTTGGCAAAATCTCCCCTCTCACCACTTCTTTACAAGGGTGAGGCATGGATGCATCATAGACAGACTGAACAGCCAAGACAGACAAGTTCTCCTGTGTGTGACAAAGTGTAAAGAAAGATGACAATTTGAAAAAAAAATTATGCATACAGTAATGTCTTCTTTGTTTGCCATGAGGCGTATTTCTCATATTACTTAAAAAAGCTCTTTTCATAAGAAATAATATTTGTCATGTTATTTATTAAATAATTGTTTGTCATAATCTTTCATGTTTGTAACCACAAGATACTGTGTAACATCTCTCTTACTGCCTAATGGGGCTCGGGTGACAATTGTCATTCACAAGAGGCTTTTATACATAACTCGTGTGTGCCATATCAGCACGGCTCTTCTTTCTATTACACTGCCACTTCTGGAAATATGAGCATGGACTTTCCTTCCTTCTCTCCTTTGTCCTTGAACCATGAGTTCAGAACCATTACTCTTCTATGCTTCAGAGAGAATGTTCACTTTACCTCTTTGGCTTCTACAGTAATGCAGCAGAAATCCCGGGGTTGTTTTAGGTAACATAGGGAGGTATCAGTCACTAAATACACTGTGAAAAAAACACCCAAAACCAAAAATGGGGAATTAGACTTTGACAGCTTGTCACAACTTTCCCCCACCCCTTAAATGCACATGCATGTTTTATTTCGACTTCTTGTTGCCTAAGAGCTGAGCTCTACTTAATATGCTATAATGTGTCATAAAGATGCTTTTCCAAGCCACTTAAGATTTATTTTAATTTTCAAACCACTCTCTCTAGCTGTACTTCTGCAGTGAGATGTGTTTAGTATTATCCTTACTTTGGAAAAGTCTTGCAAAACTCAAGTTCCCATATTAAATAATGAAATGTTTATTCAGACTTGAAGAAATGAAATAAGATGCCTCTAAATTTCTTCCTGGCTGACAAGCTGACCTGAGAAAGTACATAATGATAATGGTGGCCTCTTGTTTGTGTTGATACTCACCCAGATGAATATGGCTGGTTACCTTCTTATGTATTCGAGCTGTGTTGATAGTTCTGTCGTACAGATGTCTTTTGCCAGGGTCTCTCACCAGTCCCCACACATAGGGAAGAGGTCTTTCTATCACTCCTGCTCCCAGAAACCCGTGCCTTGTTGCTGAAGGAAAGACTTTGTAGTAAACCAGCACCTCTTTTTCTGTACATTGATATCTGTCAAAGACAAATGAAAGGTATTTGCACACAGGAAGGCCAAGTACATAAAAGGCCTTGCATTATAAAGACCTGCCGTAAACTTACTTCCAACCAGCTGCTGCTTGGCACGTGTAGAGATTCCTCAGGTTATGAGAGCATGCTGCCATTACCTTAGGAAACAATGACAAATTCTGTTCAGCTTTTACGTGGTGCTACACTATCATTTTCTATTCAAACCACAAAGCTGGCTTCACCACAAATAGTTTTACAGTGCTAGTAATCCTTAGGGAGCATGAACAGCCAGGCCGACTTTGCTGTCATATTCTCTGCTGAAGGAGGATATACACACGCCTAAGCCTGTATACGTAGCCTAAACTATGGTGAGCAAACGGGACATGGGGAGATGGGAGACCTACCTGATGTGAAATACAAAGCTGTTACGCTTTCCTTCTAACTACACACTCACATCGTCATACACAAATATGCAAAACCTGCACTGTAGGAGTTCTTGGACACTAGAGGAGTTCATAAGTTTCACCAGCTTCACTCAAAACATTTCAGCTAACATGCAGCAGTCTCTTCTGAACCCCACTGCTGCAGCCTGGCTCCCTTTCCCCTGCCATTTCAGTGATCAGTGTGTCTCTGTAACTGACAAATAGGTAACTATTGGCAGTGTAGCTCAACAAGACTTGTTCTGCCCACCCATTTTTGCTACAGCTTCCAGTAAGAGGTATAGGAATAAGTGAAAACTCTGGTTATTTACTTACCTCAGTGGTAGCGTTAGCCAAGATATGTTTGGATAAATCTTGGTATCCTTTTGTTGAAGAGGAGCTGACGGAAATAGTTAGTCCATGAGTGAACCTACAGCTGATGCTAGTAGAAGTAAGGGGTGGCTGAATTCTGCTGGTTTCTGCAGGAAACACGTAAAAAGGAAACCCACCACTATACTGCAGTTGTAGAGACTTAAACCATCCATTGGAGCACCCAATCCACCTGATCCTCATGAACGACTGATAACATCCCTTATCTTGATAATCTGTGTATTGCTAATTACACTGCAGTTACATCTTGCATGACTCAAGTTTAACAGTTATTACCACATATAAGCTAATAAAATAGCCTAAAGAAGAATAGCTTAAGGATAAAAATGAGAACTTGCATGTACCTTCCTGTACTGGTGGCAGCTTTAGCCACCACCATGCTTCTTGCTTCATTCGAAGCATTTTATCCTCATGTCCTCTCAGAACACCATACTTCGATGAAAAGACCAACTTGAGAGGGACCAAATCACCACTTACTTTTTCAAGAAATTCTAAGCAAGCTCTGGCTATTGGTTGGCAGTAGTATTCTGAAGACATGTAATGGTAAGGACGTCCTCAAAATAGCTAGGATCAAATTAGATTTTCATTTGCATAAATCTCATTGGACTTTGGGCTACAACTCGAACATAAGCAGACATGTTTTACTTACCAAGTGTTGAATCCTTCTGTAGTTGCTCTAACACATAAAGCTGACTGTTTCTAACAGCTGAACGACCTCGTGTATCTCTTGAAAGTAAAGCATTTCCAGAAGAAACCTGATTTAAGAACAGAAGTGGAAGCTTTTAGTGTGAACTGGGAAAAATAAATTATGTTACCTACCAAGTGGGATATTCATAGCAAATCTGCCCTACAAGGTTGCAAGCTTCTCTTTATCATAAGAGAAAGAGATACCTCGACTGAGGACATTTAGCAGACGGAGTGTGAGGGGCTAGCACAGGTGCGTACTCCGAAAAGTAACTTCAGGAAAGTTCATGTTTACACACAAAAACTCAATGTATGCATCAAAGAGGGAGGCACACTGAGAATATCAGATTCTGGTTTATCACAAGAAAAGGCTGCATGTTTCTAAAACATTTGACAGATGGTGGCTTACTGACAATAGTAACACTATGGGGTTTTTTTAATCCACGAGTTTAAAAAAAAAAACCACCTCAGAAATTCATGGTCCTGCTCCGTCAACCCTGTATCACCCCTACTGGTGACACAAACTGGTCCTGCTTGATAGCTGTGACAGAATACAAACCATCTAAGAAGGTTTATATTCCTACGTTCTGTCATTGCTGAATCATCAGGAGACATCGGTCTCAGGCCAGTTGTTTCTCACCTGTCCTTCCTGGCTGCGGAGGTTACTTGCAGCATATGTAGCAGTATTACTGCTGTTGTAACCAGACGTTGGGCCAGAGGAGAGGCTGAGGCTGGAGTCTGTGCATAAAGTGCTTGTACTTGCAAGAGTCTTCAGCCTTGCTTCTTCCTGTAATAGGTATCACAGTGTTACAAACAAAAATAACACCACACAAAACTTACCTGGCACAGCAGCTAGTCAAGTGAATGATAACAGCACTGAAAAATCAAAGAGTAATAATCTAAAGTCCAATTTCCTTCAAGGAGTGTTGACAGGACAAAAGCTGTTGCCATACAGAAACTCTTAAATAAGCAGGTTCGTTTAAAAGACTAATATTATAAAAGCCACAGAGCAAATCATCCTGTAACATCCAGCAGTATGGAAAGCTTCTCCTGTTGTTATTCTTCATATATGAGAGTCCAGGCTATCAGACCCATGCTAGGATGTTTTTAAGGGGAAAAAGAAGTTTAGAAAAAGATCTCTCTTCAGTCTCATTTGTTGCTCTTTGCCTACTTCTTGAGTAGCCCCTGACTTTCTAGTCAGATATAATTGTTAAAAGACTGAAGATTTAACTTTACCCAATGCGACTCCTCAATGCCAGCCCAGAAGATGAAATAAAAATTACATACTAAGAAAATACTGAGAACTTCAAGATTATTTATACTTTCAAGGGCAGTTTTAAGTTTGGTTTCCAACTCAGGTGAAGTACTTCTACATTTCACAAGAGAAGTCCGTCAGCAGATGGGTAAGATCCAGTCATCCAGTGGAGGTGCCTGAATTCGAGGTGCTTTAAAGGGTGCAGAGCAATGGAATGAGTGCTCGCCATGTTTTGCACCAGATATACCACGTATGAGGAGAGGAGGTCTGCAGCTACGATTGAAGGCTACTGCATAAAAGTATAGTCAGAAACTGAGAAGAGCAGACTCATCCTAACAAAGTTTTGTCACTGCATCTGGGAGAAAAATGCACACACTTGAACTGTGCAAGATGGGTAATAGTGCAGAAGAAAAAAAAAAGTACAGGCCAAACACACACATGCAGAGGACAATCTAAAAAGCGAAACAGAAAAGAAAGGACTAAAGGCCTTTGTGTTTTAAGTACATACTGAAATAAAATCAGTCTTCCATAGACTGGACAGACGCCCCTCGGGATGGCTGTGTAAGCTCAATCCAATGAGAAAACATTAGGAGTTTCTTGTCTATAAGCTGAGGCTTCAGGAAGATGTAGTTCAGGAGCACAAACAGTATCAGTTCAGTATTACTAAGATTTTTTTTTAAGCACAAATTTCTATTTAACTCTTTGTTTTTTCTACACTGATGTGTACAAACAGGAGAATTACTTGAACCATGGAAAAGTTTCTTTTGAAAAAATGCATTGATGTGAATAATGCAGAATGGTTTCCTCTGTATTGCTCACCTTCTGTAACTGAGAAAATATTTGCTCCCGTATACGCCTTTTTTCTTGCTCAGCTCTCTCCCGAAGTTTTTCCCGAGCTCGTGCAATTTCAGATTTGGTTTCCTCTCGTGCCCTCTGATAGTCTCGGAGCAACAGTTCAATGTCTGAAGGATGCTGAATGCTTCTTCTTTTTGGTTCTTGGACTCTGTAAGGGTAGATAAGTAGGGGAAAACACATGACTTGAAATCGGGTCACCTGACAAAATACCATGAGAAAATCATCTTTCAACACGGAACAGGAAAATTCACCAGAAAAGCAATTAACCCCCACCACATTAGCCCCACCACATTAACCTTGGAACATGATTCATATTGCAAGCCCTTTTTACCACTAAGTTTACTCCAGCGATTGCACTGGTTTCTAAGACAGCCTTGTGCGTAATCTGAGGTTACTGCTTTGGCATATTACATGCAAAATAATTCTGTTGGGAAAATGACTTATCTCCTGACCTACTGCAAAGGAAGCAAAAGTCATCTAGGGGATATGGTGGGGGATGAGAAACTCAAATTCTAAATGGTGAAGAGCTGTAGAACTTTTATGATATTTAACACGAAAACTATTTCATGTGGTATTTAACACGAAAACTATTTCATATGGCTTTTAAGTTAGAGAAGGAGTAAAACAGCTTGGCCTATAATGAATCAAGACTGATATTATGGTTTGAAG